GGGGGTGGTCATGTGAACCCTAGATGTATTGAAATGCACGTCATCGTGTTGGGATTCAATATTTCAATATTAATTATGTCATCATCAGGAATAGCAAAGCACTTAATTGTTATCTTTGGTGGTTAATTTATCTATAAAAGTATGATTTCATATGATGTAAAACATTTTTTTTTTAATGTTTGGTTTATCAAGACTCACCTTGTGATAACACCTCATGTGTTATAGTGAAATTTAGGCTTCTTTTCTAAATTAAGTATAAAAATAATGACTACAAGATAATCTTGTTTAGAATGTTAGTTGAAGAATAATCTCGGGCAATTTCAGTACACTTGCCTGTGCCCTTTTCAAATGTGATAAATGTATGTATTTTTAATGTTATGTAGATTTCTAATTTGTTTTCACAACTCAGGAACATTATGTATTTTTAATGATGATAAAGTAAAACTCATATTCTGAAATGAAATTGTCTTTACAGGATTATATTCTAGAACATTATAGTGAGGAGGATGACAAATTTATGAAAGAAATTAATGATTTTTTACAATTACGTCAGGTGTGTATCACAACATTTATATCAGTTCTATTGTACCTTGTTAAACCTTACAATAAATATATATTGTCAGAAGTAAAATGGAGGGAAAACCATTAAATTGCTCATTTAAAATGATAAATTAAACTCCAATGGGACCCAGATGGAAGCTTAAATTGAATAACTGCCAAGTGCAGAATATAGGAATGTATTGCCGGACTACATTTTTTGTGTCTGTCTGGCAAGGAACATTTTTCATGTTTATTTTTCAGTTGAAAGTTAAACATCAATAAAAAACTGAATATTTTTTGTTCACATTTAGCACAACACTATAGATTTGTGTAGGAGAACGTAATACCTACATACGGGCTGGATGATGAAAGAATTGTATTGTACGCTACTCAAACTGATACAATAGTAACAATATGTAATAATTGACAATGTGAATTAATGTAATGGCCACGCATTTTGTATTATGCTTTTTTTGAGACAATCTACAAAGCAGCTTGAGTTTGTATACTGGTAATAATAAATAATAATGTTCTGTGAAATGGAAGTGATCATAAACCTATAAGTAAATAATGATAAAATATATAATATAGAATGCCTAAAAATTTGATTTTTGATATTTGATATTTTTTTAAGGATTTTTTTTGTTTTTGTTTTTTACATATTTTATATTTTTTTTATTGGTTCGCTTATGGTTTAATATCATAATCAGGTGCCCTGCAGTTTTAAATTAGCGGTAGAATGATATAAATAGAACAAGTCTGAAGAAGTGCTAATGTCATTAATGTTTATTAACTAAATATAATAGTACATAATGACCACAGCACCTAATTACCATAGTACCTAATTGCCAGAGTATCTAATCACCATTCAAAATAAAATTGAACCTTTAGAAGGTTGTAAAGATACAACATCATCTGCTAGAGTTATCACTAATGACCGTTGTACTTTCGCTTTTCGCCGTGTACAGGCCATCAAAACACCATCTCGTAATGATGCTGGCATTGAACTTTTATTTGAATATTACAATCAACTATACTTTATTGAACATCGATTCTTCCCACCAAGTAGGCATTTAGGAATCTACTTCCATTGGTGAGTATCATTTGAATTATAAACAAAATAAAAATGCTATACATTAATTAAAATTGAGCTAAGTACAACAAATATTGACATATTCACTATATTTATTATTTATGAAAATCATATAGATTCAGATTGTATCGTATTGTATGGTTTCACAAAAGTTTTCTCCATTATACTGGTTATAGAGTTCTTTAACCTGGAACAGGTTTACGGCCGTTGAATTCCGGATCGGTAATTTAAAACTCAATCGGTGGTTATTAATGAATGGGATTGAATAGCATTGTAGACTTTACTTTTGAATACATACTTAGCACAGTTTGTTAAGCTAGTGGTGAACCACTATGTGTGCTGTGGACCATGGTGGTCTTTGTGGTTCTTATCCTAGTTTATTCTGTCAAGCAGCTCTCCTCGTGACGTGGTATAGCTTGCCCTCATTTGGAAGAGACATTTATTAAGCCAATAATCCATGCCTTATACATAATAACGAACGTAATACTTAAAGGGTAGGTATTTTCTGTTTTTCGGTTTGAATATTTGTCACCTGCCCTGCTGAAGCTGTCTGTCCCCAGGCCCAGCCAAAATTATCTAGTTACTCAACTAGACTTATGGACAGTATTTTCGCAAGTAATTTTCAACAGAACCTTCTCTCAAACCACTCAATCTGCATTTTTTAAATGTTATCGAGTTTGCTTGTACCAAATATCTTTATAAATGAATATTTTTATAAAAAAGTATGAATATTTGTTTAAAAACTATGAGAGTATAAAACAAACTTAAAGTAAGTATATGATTCAGGCAGTAATTTTTAATAAAACTCTGGGTGGATCCATGTTAATTATGACTATTTTATGAATTGAGGAATTCATATCTTATATCGGTGTCATCTACATTTTATATATTTAGTCCTATAATTACCCTAAGTATTCCAAATTCTCTAAAATTTACATATTGAGACCTATGAATATTTATGAATGACATGTTTATGTATTAAACACTATGAATATTCATGAATTTGAGACAATATTGTTATTTTGCAGTCAATCAATATTGAATAATAGGCTCTCAGTACTGTTTTAGGTTCAATAACTTTTGTTTTGCCTTTGATATCAAAGTTAAGTAGATATAATTATTCCCAACCTGGTCTCCAATTACAGCTACATTGTAACAGAATTAGAAAGAATACTACATGTATTAAAAGGCTTCTGATCAGTTTTCAAATGATGACATTTATATGAAAGTAATTAAAATGAATTAGAGTTAAGCCATACATAAAATGAACCCAAACATATTAATAATGAACCTTTATTACTAGATGCAAAGTATACTGTATTGTCATAAAACAATATAGTTTATATACAATTTCTAATACTGTATATGGAAAGATAGGTTATGGAAGGTTTCTTTCTTGTTGAACAAAGGGATAAAAATATCTCTTTACTGGATGTTTTGATGTAGTGATGCTCAATGAAATAGGCTCATCGTCATCATCATCATCATTATTATTATCATCAATATCATCCTCATCATCATCATTTTGTTATCATCATTATCATCTTCATTATTATCATCATTGTTATCATCATCATTATCATCTACATTACTATCATCCTCAATATCAACATCATTATCGTCTTCATTTCATTAATATTAATGATATCATCAGCTTTATTATTATCAGTATCATCATCTATATTACCATTTATTTCATTATTATCATCGTAATTTATATATTGAAAAGTAGCACCAACCCAGGGCGGATCCAGAATTTTTCAAACGTGGGGGCACAACAGGTTCAGAATAGATAAGTGAGTAGCACATAACATTAATATGCATTGAAATTTTAAAAATTTAGTGGCAAAACAGGGGGTTGGTTTGGAGGCGGGTGCCTCCTGTGCCCCTACTGGATCCGCCCCTGTCACCATCCCCACTACTATCTCCTCCAATACCATTATCATTTTGATCATGACTTGTTCATTTCGTTGACATTCTAAGCGAAGTATTTTACTATCGTTATCATAATCATCATAAAATGTAAACTGATACTTCATTCCCTAATACTTGCATAATAGTAAAAAAATATTACATTTCACAGTCTTGTTTAAGCTGATCCTAGCTTTCTGTACTCTAACGTAGCAGACTATTCATCATCATTATATTCGTCATCGTCCTTGTCATTAACATTGCCTCCACCAACAATGCTACCAATTTACGTACACTCTACGTGACCTCTTTCCTCATCAATATTATTTCCATCCACGCTCATTTCCATTATTGCTTTGTCGTTGCAATTTTTTTTTCAAATCACTATCTAATCGAACACCATAAATATTCTTCCACCCAGTTAAGAAAAAAGTAATTTTAACAAATTTCATCTTATTTGTAATATTGTAATTTCAGTCGCTGTGGTATTGAAATTTATTGCAAATGGAAAAAAAATATAATACGAAGGAATTAGTCATCGCGATAATAGGATTTTCTTCCGTATGGAGGTAGGCGTTTTACAACATCCACAAGTTGAACACACCCAAGCCTCCAGGCATTGTTATTATTATTAAACCAGGTGTTGCCTGGTTTATATCAAGCTTAATAATGTGAGTGATAGTAATAATATGCAGTGCTATAAAAAATATGGAAATTGTAAGGATTTAGGTTTTCTTATCGTAGTCATAAAACTTTACAACCTGAGATAGAAATTAACAATAGACAATTGTAACATGCATTAACTATAGTATGTACTGTAGTCTTAAATTTTAAGTTGAAAAGGATATCTATTTTTTAATTTTTTGAAATTTTATTTAGGTTTAAAGAACATATGCATTCTGGCTTCAATGTGAGCTTGAAGGGTCACCATCGTTAAATATGAAATGAAAGAAATAATAATATAAATAGGCTTGTACTGCAAATTATACATGACAATAACATTGGAATTATAATAAAATATAAATTGAATTTTTAACCAGTGCCAATATACCAGTAAAATCACTATCAAAATATTAATTTTCTTTGAAATCAATTAGTGGGAAGTAAGCACTGATTTCATTGTGACTCATAGGATGACGAGTTTTTAAAAAAAATTAGCGTCCATATAATAGCAATCTTACTAATTAATAGATGAAGTACTGTGCGGTACACAATACATGTCATAATGGTGCAACTTTTGACGTCTCAATTAAAATTCCGGGCTCAGTTTTCAGGCCAACCACTTTTGAGTTCCTTTATTTATATTGACTTTTCTTTTTATGAGTACAAGTAGGTATCTACTGTAGATTTGAAGACTACTATAATAGTATAATTATTCAATACCTTCTCTGCAAGAGACTGTTTTGTGTTATTTATTATGTTGAGTCCTTGGATGGCTTAAGCCAAGCTTTTGAATAGCTCACACCTATAATTCTACACTGCAGAGCTACCTTATCCATTATGCTAGGGACCAGGGGTTGCAACCCTTAGGTGTATTTGTCAAGCAGCTGTGAACTAGCATGTTCTGAAAATCCGTTGGGATTGCAGTGAACTTTCTGACACTGTCTGAACATGAAGCTCAAAGAAGAGCGATATCGGCATACTGTACAGTATGTTCTTTTTTAATTATTCAAATTTGGTTATTAAATTCGATCCAGGTCAGTGCTGTAAACTACGTTATATTTGAATATGTTTTCTGTTATAGTAGATCTAGTTAAGATTGTGTAAAAGAATGTATCCACTGCTGTCATGGTTATGGGGATTAAACAAAGACAATTTTATGAGTTGAGGAGACAGTTTCTGCCTTTCATCCCTTAAATCCTGGAAGTCACACTAGATTAACAATTTGAATGGCAGGAATTCAGCCATTATTTTTTAAATAATAGGTTTTAACAAAGTTTATGAGTCAAGGATTTTAGATCAAGTAAATACTAGTTTATTTTTTTTTCTGTTTATAACCTTTATATAATCCTAGTACATGTGTGGATCACCTACGACTCCTGTAAAATCTGAACACAAATTTGTTTTTTGGAGATTGTTATGAATTTTACTTGTGTTATATAGAATTTGTTTTCAGTGGTTTTAGTGGTTGATGTGTATTGTAGAGGTTAGGTTCAGATATAGGTGTTGTATGAAAACACTATAATGGTTCCCAGTGTTACTGTACCACACTACAAATTAAGTATTTTATCTTCTGAATTAACATGAGTAGTTAAAGATACATTCTGTGTTCAAATCTAAAAAAAAACACCTTAGAAATTCTAATATTTGAAAATGTTAAAATAAATTGTCATTCACAGATCAAAACCACTGTTTTGTTTTTTTCTGAATTATAGATTTTTACTTAATGAAAACCTTCAAATTAATTAATTACTGACTAACTTAAGTGTCAATGCTGAGTATTAGAAAGTAGAAGAAAATTTTTCCACATTACAATTGAAAATTAAACTATGTAGTTTAAGTTTCAATTATTTTTTCGTAGATTTTAAATCCTCCATTTGAAGTACACTACATTAAACCAGATGTGGTGTAAAATATATACCGAATATTTATTTACCTAAAGGTAGTGTTATGTTTAAGAGCCCACAAAAAAACAAATAAATGGTGAGGTATCTGGACATCTACAGCAGCGTCAAGAGAAGGACAGTCGAGGCAGTGTCACAGAGCCTTTGCTAAAGGGGCCCATGTTGCTAGGGTGAAGAAAGGAATGGAAAAATGTCATTCATGTTCTGCTTTACAGTATATCAATTAAAATTAGACATCCATACAATATTTAAAAGGCTGTAGACCCCCACTTATGCCAGCCACCCCTGCTGGGCCTGTAGGCAATTCTCAAAACTTATTGGCAGGTGCAGTGCCCGGGTTCATTGCTTTAATATGCACATGTGAATTTTCGTTGACGTAGTGTATACCTCAACTAAAATTCCATATATACAGTAAGAAAGGTCTGTGAATATGATAATTAATACTGTACATGCTAGTACTGTGTATTTTATATTAATTATTCAAGCAATATACTTGAATATATGTGATTATGGATTATCGTGGACCTCAATAAACTCAACAATGAAACCATACAAAGATAGTATAATACATACTCCAAGTATCGAAATGCACGCCATCGTGTCGGGATTCAATATTTCGACATTATATCATCATCAGGAATGGTACCAGGTTATATTTTTATAATGGCCAGTGATGTAATTTATCAGTTATTTGTATATTTTTCAATACATTGGAAAGAAAATGTGGTTTGAATGGTAAAATCATGTACCACTGGCCACAGAGCTTAATTAGTGGAAGAGCAATATAGGGGTAAACAGAGGATCATGGGTTCGAATCCTGAAGGGGGAATAATACAGTTTTGTTGAGTGGCTTTCCCACTGAGTTTCAGTGTATACTAGGCCAGAAGCTATTTTATAATCAGAAGTAGGTTTCTTGAATTCAATAAACAATATGTTACTGTTTATATATTACTCGGCACAATTTAGAATCTTAAAACATCTGCCAGGTTTGTCCAAGGTTAAGAGCCCACTTTACTACTGACATCAATCGTAGCTGTGGCCATGGCAACGTTTCCTGTAATCAATGCTATGCACAATCACTTACAGTTCTATAACCAAATTGTATCACTTGTTTAATATATTATCTAACACTTGCCTAATGATTTAATATATAGTAATTCGTTTATTTTTTGCGTGAAATTATGATTTTGTTTGTCTGTTATGTAGGTATGATGCTTTGACTGGAGTGCCTTCTGTACAACGATCGGTAGCCTTTGAAAAGGGCAGTATTCTCTTCAATATTAGTGCTTTATATACACAACTAGGCTCGAAACAGGTACAGTATATTATTATGTCAATCAATCAATCAGACAAATTCACCAGTACTTATCAATTTATCAGCGTTGCCCTTCAGCAAAAAAAGTTGACAATTTTTGTTAAGTAGATCGTAATGAATTTCTTCATTTCATTTCATTTCTTTAGGCACAAGGGAAAAAAAAAGGATATGCCAATAAGTGAACTTAATCACTGTCCTATGTGGCATATCCATTTAACAATTGATAATAATGATTTGATTGTATAGTTTTTGAGTATTTTATTTTTGTTCCCCTCATATGTATATTTTATATATATTTTTTGCTTGATAATTTCATTAGGGCTACTCCAAATTTATTTATTTTTACTGTTAATTAGTTTTATACTCTCTTTTGTCTTACTTTACTTTGTTTATGCTGACAGTCCCTAATGATGATCTTCGGCTAGGTGGACCACTCTCATTAAAGATTGTTGAAATAGATAATACCTGTACTGTTGACATACTGTAGGGAATATTTTATCTAGTCTTTTAAATCAATGAAGAGCCATGTATGTCTAGGATTAGATTGTAGTCTTTAAAAAGCTAAAAATATATGAATCGTATCAGCTTTTACCTTAAATTCCAGTATTCAAAACATTCACAAAATTGAATTGAATTTGGCCTACATTTAGTTATGAAAGACATTCACATGGAAACAATATCATTGTAGTGAATCCCCAGACAAATTGTCAACTGGACAAACAAAGCTGGTGGTGATTGGACAATTCTTTTAGTAAAGTATATTGTTTACACGCTAGGCTAGATACATACAAACAGTGCGAGGTACACAGTGAACATGATGACGGTGTGTGCTAAATACGCATGTAAAATTAACACAATTTTCCCACGCTGGGAAGAAGGTATTTAATGATATTTATTATAGTTTTTGTTATTAAGATCAGTGCTTTTAGTACTACCCTATACTATGCTAATATACTATGACACTAAATATATTATATTGTAATATTATATTTTAGTTGTCCAATGTTTAATGTTTTGGAAATGGCAAGAAATTATTATAGGCCTAGTGATAAAAAATCAAATGTTCTTGCATTTAAAGACACAACAACACACACAGTAATAATAAGAACGGTATGCTTTTAATACATTGTATTCATCGGTAATTTATGTTGGAGCTCAAAGTATTGAAAAATTCAATTCAATATTTGATTTGGTTTTTTTATATTGAAGTTGTTATTTATTAGCTTTTGAATAATTTGAATGCTAATTAACACAGACAGCTAAAATTGTATTGACAGGGGCAGATCTATTTTTTATTTATTACTTGAACAATTAGTGTGTCCTAGATATTAGTAAACACAGAAGCCAAAAACTATTGCTGGTATTAACCCAGATATGAGGTACAGGCCTATAAATAGCATGCAGAGTACCAGTATTCATATGTTTTACAAATGCTAAATAATATATATGGAATTTGAGGCTTAAATCTATGTTAACACCTTCTTTATCGCGTATCATTATGTCGACAGTACTGATATATCAAGCATTAGGCATCTCACTAATCTTGATTTACTGTAATATCAACGTGCCTATGTGTTTGTTACTTTGAACTAGTTTCTGTTTTCATGTCGTTTAAAACTAATCTTTTCGGCTCAGATTCTTGATTAAGCACATACTGTATCATTCCATTCCCAAATGGATTATATGCAAGACTAATACAAATATATTAACCAGAATACTAGTTGAAATAGAAACAAGGAAAATTTCAGCGTAAAGAAATTTAATTTCTTCTGGGAATTGCTCTGTATCACAACCAGACAGTGTGTGTTGGTTTTGTAATGAAACTTCCATGGAGCAATATGATCTACTCAAAGCAGTGAGGTATCTAGGACTATACTAACATGAAAAACTGATTGGGGATAAGGGGGTGTTTGAGTGAAGTTTAAGTGTAAGTTGAGTTGAGGATTAAGTGAAGGAGAAAGTTACCTGACAAAAAATGGTGAAATTGGATGGGTTTTAACTACTTGAGTGCAACACATTTTAGTCAGAAAATTTCAAGTAGAGGAGTGCCTCCTGGAAATTTAAGATTAAAGCTATTTAATGTTTTTCCAGTCTTTTCCTTGTAATATATTAGTCTACTCTCGACAGTGACTGTCGAGGGTGACGCAATTTTTTTTTAGTGGGGAGCGTGCACCCATGCTCCCTGTAAATGCACCACTGAGCATGAACGAATATATTAATAGAATTTCAAATTTTTCTAAATTTCTTATCGATATGACAGAAAATTAATTATACCAAATAAATAAATATTTGATTTGTTGTTTTCATTCCAGGATCGTAGTAAAGTGGAAGGCATCAATAAGGTGATAGATTATTTTGAAAGAGCTGCGGGAGGATTCCGGTATCTTGCCGAGAACTTCAGCCATGCACCGAGTATGGATATGAGTAGCCCAGTCCTTGGAATGTTTGTTAGTCTTATGTTGGTAAGTGGCCCCAAGAAAAAATGCAGATTTGTAACATAGTTGTAACTACTATATACTACCCGAAAGTGGCAGAGAACACATATAGGCCATTAGACATTTCTGGGGGTTGGGGCATTCTCCCTGGAGGGATGATTAAAAACAAAAGTCTCAAGCCTGAAAATTTGTTCCTATTGTTTTCTATGTACACTATGGGAAAAGTCATGATCATATTCATTGTTGAGTCTAATGCCCTATACAGTCATGATGTGCCTATATATGGTCATGATGATGTCATCATGACCATATTTAGGCATGTCACATGTTTTTGTCAAATAAATTTTGATAATCTGGACACGACTTAACAGATAAAAAAATTAGATATACTTAAATGAATCCATTTCCCTCACTGGATGCAAAACTTCATGCTTACCTGTAAAATCTTCAGTTTCGGGGTTTTTTTGATAACAAATGAAACTAACATATTAGTATATAATTGAAATGCAATAAATTGCATTGTGAGTTGTACTGTTATTTTATTTTTTTTTTTTATTAACATCAACATATTTTTACAGGGTCAAGTTCAAGAAGCAGTTTTTGAAAGGAGAGTTCTTGGAGGCGTAGAGGAGAATATACAGTCATATATAGAAGTCGCACGAGAGGCTGCTAAGGTGAGACTACCAACATTTTGTAACTAAACCATTTCATGGTAACGCTTAACATAATTATAAATCTTGAGTATTACTCAGGATGTTGCAGCATTATGGCTCATGTATGTTCAAACTACACATTTGGACAAAATTCACATTTTGGCATCAAACAACATTGAAAATAGAACTTCTCACAGGCAGAGATAAAAGTTCATCAGCATCTCAATGAGCCTATCTGCAAGTCCATAGCTGGTCATAGCTGGTCCTCCCATAAAAGGGAGGATCAGGAATGTAGAACTGATTCACTCATCCATGACTGTCGTCATGTGCATTCTATATTCTACTTTAAATAAATTTTGGTTTTTTATGCGGATATGTCACGATTGCAAAGACTGATGCACCAATGTTTAATACAGTACAGTCCTCGTTCTGGACAGAATGTAACGCATGTCATTACATTTTACGTTGTCACTCAAATCAAAAGCTCCTAATGTTAAAAAAATACTCTCTCATCGGCATGCATATCTCGCCTTCATTTTGTCAATCATCTCTTCAAATTTTTATCTTCATTTTACCCTGTTATCAGCACACGTGTCATTGATGTATTTCTTCATTTACAGGTTTCAACATCCTATAGTAATGTGCACAAGTCCATGATGCACCAGCAAGTTAAGGACTACATCCCGTACGCCTGGATCTCCATGGTTTTAGTTAAATCACAACACTTCAAAGCATTATCGCACTATTACGTTGCTATGGCTCTCATTGGTAAAAAATGTAAGTAAATATGTAGAACATTCTAGAAATCCTGAATACCAATAAGACAAGAAGTTTTTTATACCTAGTTTAGCGAACCCACCGACCGCAAATATTGATGCTCTTGAATAAAAATAAAATTTTATTTTTGGCCAATTAGTGTACTCGACGTCACAAAAAAGTGAAAATTTCAGAAAAAATAAAGTGTTTTCTTTATTTTTATTACGCCCTCTACTATCTTGGTAAATCAGGCCTAATGTTACCATCATTATTTATGAGAGGAGACCACAATATTTATATTTATTTGATTTATAAGCCACAAAATACTCACACCTAGGGCTGAAACATAGCCACTTCACAACCCGTAAACAGTGCAAGCTGGGGTAACAGCATGTGGTTTGTACCCTCGACAACAAGGTTCAGAACCTAAACGAAAATCGCTACGCCAGACTGCCTTCCACCATATAAATATGAAATATATAAATTTGAAGCATTCAACCATCCTATTTTGCATTCACCAATAAAATTTTATAAATAAGAAAGAAATTTTTGTTTTTAATTCCACCCTTCTCCGATAATCTTTAAAGAAATAAGTACGCGAAACAAGGAATAAAAAAAATCTCACCTAAGATGTGTTGTGTGTCAGTAAACAATCATTTGTGAACCTGTATCTATCAATGATTGGTTAAGTGTTTGATTCTCTAATCCATTCAAATTAAAGATTTACTATCTGTGTTGATATTTGAATTGTGTACTTTATAAGTTATCTTTAAATGGAAAATTGAATTTGGCCCATTGTTGTTTAAGATTCAAAGCTACATTTTTAAAAATATCCTTGTAGTTAAAGATAAACTGCAACATGTATACTACAATGAACACATATGATAATTACAAATGGCAATGAATAAAATTCATAGAAAAATACATCGCTGATTTGTACATATACAAATAAATATTGTTTCTAGGTATTAGGAATAAGCATAGAGAACTAATAATAGTAAATAATATGTAGGGTGTATAATATTCAGGAAATGGTATACAGGAAGCATTTTAAATATATGTGTACATATTGATTTTATTGTACATACTTTACATTTGATTATTTGCATGTGACTCATGATTCATTATTTATAACCTTATATTACTCGAATAGTGACTGGATAACAACAAAGGGAACAAGTACAATGCTTCCCAGAACATCATACAATATCAAGGAATCTAGGCTAATAAATACACAGTACAAACATAAATGTAATAATGCTATTAATATTTGCATGTGTAATCAATTAAGGCCAACTCATCGTCATAGATGCAGTCCGACGCAATTTTTCTTCAGAAACAGTTGTTTGGTCATTGTTAGGTTGTTGTTACGACGCAACTGCTCCCAAAGCAGACCTATTGGGTCTGCATTTAATTCACACTAACTAGAAGCGACAACAATCGCTTATCTTTGATAAGGGTGAAACCTAATATGTGTCAGACTGCTTTTCATTGCAGCCCTTGAACAAGACACTTCTATAACGCAAGACAAATATACACACATGATGCCCTACATAAACTAATTCTCATTATGATGCTTAGGGAGTGGAGTTGTTTTTGATTGTGTGAAAGAAATCCAGCACCATGACAGGATTTGAACAAATCGCGCCAGGCTACGTCATATGACACTGAAATTTACCTTTTGGTCATTTTTTTTCAAGCATAGAATGGATACAAATTATGTTAAAAAATCCATTTTCTTTTGTTTGCAATTTTGTAGTTTTTAAAATTTTACGGTTGTTCTTGTGTTTTCTATTTAGCTGGTTCTGAGTATGATGTGGCAAAGTTAAAAGAGCTTTTTCCAGAAATTCATGTAGATGCTGATATACCAAATTTGAAAGTACCAACAGATTATGAATCAAGGAAAAGGCTAGGTGAGAAAATGTACCTAAATATGCTATGATATGTATTTGACTATTAGAATAATTTTTGATGGTTTGTTTACTATATAACACCAGAATCAGTTAATTAACCACAACAAACATGAACAGTGTTTCTGGAAAAAGTAAAATAAACAATCATTCATGCATATTGGAAAAAAAAAGCTTTTTATAGCTCTAAAATAAAACATATGTTTTTAGTTTAAACCTTTATTTATATTTCATTTTATAATTTGTTTCTTTTTTGTTCATTATTTAAGATGTTTGATACTATGTTATTTGTATTTAGTTTTAATTATTTACATAGTTAATCTTCTCATGTTTATAGGCAAGTCAAGTTACCAGCCTGAATTTATAACTCCTGATTTTGCTAATGTCAAAGTGAAAGACATATTCCATGGCTTGGTAAGTTAATATACCGTTTTTCTTTAAGGAATTCTTGCAAATATGGGCTACAAGATATTATTTCTTTTAAAATTTCTTATTATCTTTGATAAGGGTGAAACCTAATATGTGTCAGACTGCTTTTCATTGCAGCCCTTGAACAAGACACTTCTATAATGCAAGACAAATATACACACATGATGCCCTACATAAACTAATTCTCATTATGATGCTTAGGGAGTGGAGTTGTTTTTGATTGTGTGAAAGAAATCCAGCACCATGACAGGATTTGAACCCAGGACCTTGGGATTGAAAGTCCAGCATCTTACGTTATGAACATAATGCTTATTGGAAATGTCTCTAATTTATAATTGTCCTTTACTCTGCTTTGTACAGGGACCATTAGCAATTTTCAATGCTAGGAATCAATGGACAGCACCCAGAGAAGTATCCATTACAAGAGGATCGGAAGGGTTTGGGTTCACCGTTAGAGGTGACTCACCAGTCATCATCGCCAGTGTGGACAAAGATGGACCAGCATTGGTAGGGCATAGAGACTTTAGACTTAGATATTTATAACTTAACACTAAATGAATCAGTAAACTTGCAATACTTTTATGTAGATTTCCCAGCCTTGAGGTTGTAGATTCAATTCCCTGCTGTGTTTGTGTCATTGAGCAAGGCACTTAATCTGCATTGCTTCTCTCCACCCGGTAGTATAAATGGGTACCTGGTGGGGTTGCCTACTCCAATGCTAATTACTGCAACAACATTCAGGCATGTGGACCCAATGACCAAAAAAGGCGGTATATAAATAACCGAATAAATAAATAAAATAAAATAAATATTGTGTGTTTTTTTTTTAAATTACAGAAAGCCGGAGTAAAGGAAGGGGATTTCATTGTTACTGTAGGAGATAATGATGTCAAGTGGGCCAAACATGACCAGGTTGTCAGGTACATTGTAAGTTGTCCAGGCCAACTATTCATGAACATAGTGACTCCTCTAGGCGAGGCCTTGATTCACCCGCAAGATCAACGACGGCTCAATGGACAATCAAACGGTAACGGAGATACGATGAGCGAAGCTACAACAATTGAGAGGAAGAATAAAAAAGGATTTCTGTCCTCAAAAAATGGAGGAGTAACAACAGAACAATCGATTTTGGACAAAAAAAATAAGAAAGCACCAAAGGTGCCACCAAAAAGTGTGGAAATCACAAACAAAACGGGCACAGGGAAGAAGAAAGAAAAGGAAAAGAAATCGGGCAAAAAGGACATTAAAGGAAAATCAGTAGATGCAACCGTTCTTGGAGATAAACCACAGGCATTATGGTAGCAATGTAGAAAGTTGTAAAATACATAGTCGAGACAGTTTGCTGAAGGCTATGGACAAGAGTTGGATTGAATTGCATTAAAGGCATTTAATCGTAACAGTCAAGATTGAGGACCTTCATAAACGTCAGCTTTCAATGCATAACATAAACTGCATTTACTGTATTTAAATTATATCTTGCCAATTGAGACGTTAACTAATGATGGAGTTTCCAAAATTATGGTGTCTATCACGGAGTGAGGAAAGCTATTTGATAAGATGCAGTGCCTCCTAGATAATGAACTACTATTGCAGCGAGAGTTAATGGCCAATTATTTTTATCTCGGCAGCCGGCGAATTTCTCCTGTTATAATGTTTTCCAAATAGCAGGCTTCCAACTTTATTGCGATTCTTTCCTTGGAAATTTCAAACAAACTATAATCAGGTAGAAGCCAGATAATCTAGCGTTGATATATATATATATATAATTTGGTTGTATTGATTTTGGGCATTCAAGACAAATAAATATTTATTTAACTGTGCATAATATAATTAGTATACTGGCAAAAGCTGCTATTATTAATTATAACAATTCAACAATGATCTACGTTATTGGTTGTGAAACTATGACCTAATTTTCCACTGTGCACGCTTCATTCTAGAAGTAGCGACCATATATTTTGCGTTATACACGTGCCAACAATTACACTTAGATCACTACCGCAGACTTGTCTTATGACGGTTCATTCTTCCAACCAATCAGGTTAGGTGTACAGAAGCATTTGAAAAATTTGCCTACCTATTTCCCCTTCCAGGGGCATGCAAAGCCCCTGAAATATATTTAGAATATGGGAGTGGAAGGTATTTTAGACAGTGCTAACACCTTGACACCTTTAGCTTGAATTACCATCAACTTTACTCTTTTCTATAGCCAGTCTCGCACGTTGTGATTTTTGCTTACAACAAGCTGCGCTACAACACGATCAGTCTACAATCATATAGTGCGTGGGAGTTGGCAGTGCATGAGAGTTATTATGAATAGTGTCCAATATCATTCAGTTTGAAGATATTCAAAAAATTGTAGTTGTAAGTGTCGTAGCGCAGCTTATCGTAAGGAAAATCGCAACATGTGCAACCAGCTTAAGATGTATCAAAGTGAAGTGGTCTTCATAGTAGAGTATAGTTTTACATAATATAAGTACGGTAATAATTTAGATGATAATGATAGATGATTGTATGGGGTTTTAAACCATACAATTTATTTGTCCATCCTAGTTCATTATTATATATGCAACAAATAAGTTCTGTGGATTATTAAAAATGTTAATGATGTTATGCCCACCTATAGAATGAAATTGTGAGTATGCAAAACAGACCTAATTTAGTAAAGTGTAGTATAAATTTATGTCAATGTTTTTTATCCCAATATTCAATAATTTATGTTTTTTTTTTATTGTTCTGAATTTTTTGTATTTGTAACAAGCAAGCTTTTATCCATATTTATGTGCAATTTGAAAATCAATATAAGATTTATTTAAACACCTTATTTATACCCATTTTACTCAGTAATAATGTATTCAAAAACTGAATTAATATCCCTATTACTGTACTGGTCTATAAAATATGTATTGTGTATAAACAATAGTTATTTGACTAAATGTCATATTATATGCATCCACTGTAAACTGTTAATGTCATAGGTCATTCAAATTTGCATGCTAATTAACATAATATTTAATATTATGTGTATGTATTAATGTACCAAAATGATATGAATTAGTGTTTACTATGTGATGAAGAATTATTATTAATTTAATTAAATTTGTCATTAATAATTAAATTTCTTAATAATATATCTTGATTGAATATCTCATTACATATTCCAATTACATTGCTCAAAACAATTCAGTTTATAATTTCAGTTCACTCCTTATATATTACACACCAATGTGTATATTTTTCATTAATAAACAAATTTGTAATGTTTTTATCCTTATTTGTATATAGTGTTCTTTACATACTTGTAAATGAATTGCTGTCTTTCATGTTTTTTTCAATTGTACAGAAACAATTTTCAGTGTGAATCTTACTTTTGAGTTCTTCTTTCAAAGTGTACCTGTTTTTCATGTTGGCATTCAGTGAGAAAGAAATTGCATTAAATGCAAGATGTGTACATATTGTCTAGCTAACTACAGTACCTTAGAAGTTATTATAACGATATTATTATTTTATCTTAGTTCGTTTGTCATGTAGAGGGTGATATATTTATTGGGAAATTTAACTGTATTGGTTTTCGATTTAACATCAAAAATTTATAATGATAAATCACTTGCAGATACAAGTTTTATCACATTTTTGTCAACCTAATCTGGACTGTAACTTGTAGGTTGTTGTTGATGCATGGAGAAAATAACTATGGTTAATGTAAATAATGGCCTCAAGAAAGTACAAAAGTGTGTTTGCAAAACTGTGGACGTAAGAATTTTTTTTTACGTTACAAATTTTTGATGTATATATATTTAGAACATATTATTTTCTGTTTTAGAATCAAGGTATTTATTGTCTGGTTTATTTATGAATGTTCCCTTCATTTTGATCACTATTTTATTTATTAAATTGTTATGCTAATCTTGGAAGCTTCTTTTTAAGCCTAAAATTCCAAAGCACTATATTTGACTTGAAATTTGAAATCTGCTACTTGGCAGTTTTTCATGATGAATATATTGGGCAGTGGCGTAGAAAAGTATTTTTCATTGGGAGTGGGGATGATTGAAAATTCTTGGAATTGACATAAAATTACTGATGTCGTACACACCCTTCAGTGTGAAAATGTGGCTTGCTTTGCAAGCACATCTAACATCTAAGGAAAGAAGAGCTTAGATTGGTACCAGATAAAATAATTTTGTTATCAACATTAATACATTATGCTAATTTTCATCTTTGTAAGGGCATAAGACATTGCAAATTATTTCTGTGACAGTCTTTTGAAGTGTGTAAAGCTCCATTTTATCTCATACATAGTCAAAATATTGGGGAGGGGGATGGTACAATGGACCATCCCCCATTGTTGAATATTTGGGGGATATATCCCTCATTCCCCGGGATCTACGCCTATGATATTGGGTGCTACTTCAATTTTTCCTGGTGGCTCAAAATTATCTTTGGTTTCTGTAACAAGTTTCTTGAGAGTCTTATACCTGTTAGGTGTTTTGCGAGGCTATAATAGCATGTAGCAAATCATGATACATATCTAGAGAAATTCAACATTCAGTTTATAAATTAATGTATTTATTATTTTGCTTTTTTTGTGTGTGTATACATGAGGAGTTTTGAGTTTACATGTTAAAGTTTTATGTGTGTCTATTGATTCCATTGTCTTCACATTCCAAGATTATTTTCTGGCAATTTTACCAAGAATTTTCTTTGGAAGTTACTTAAAATTGACATCGCTTAATATGTATATATTCCGTTAAAATTCTGGAAGCTCATTTAAACTAAACTTTAAAGCTGAGCATTCACCGCGGTACGACAATTCCAACTCTGCTGCCTGTGAGTGGTAGGCGACGCGACACTGTTTGTTGATTGTCACGTGTTATGGCTTTGTGTTCTCCATAAAATTGCGTCGGCGGACGACCGTCGGACACACGACCCTCGGACGCACTGAGTGCCTAGCTTAAGGATAGGATGACTAATTATGTTGACATTCGTTGGTACTAAGGTAACTCAAAACTTCAGTGTTCTATCAGATAACAAAATGAATGTGTTCTTTAATATATTTGCATTCCGGTGTTATAGTTTTTAATAGTCTTAAAGGTTGCACCTACACACCTACAAGAAAGGAATGTATGCTTAAAATATAGTGTTATGTCAAGTAATAGAACATACTATGATTTCATGTCGCCTTGTTCAATAAAGTTTATCTTATTTTAGAATCTTCCATGTTTTTGAAGTTGATAGATATTTTGACACTAATACCGTATGTAACGTTGTGAAAGATGATAATCAATGTTCTTATAATGAAACAATGTTGTTATTATTGATAAAATAATAGTGGTTCCAGTTGCCAGTTATTTGCCTTATGAATAGTATAATAGTGTACAGTCACCATGGTGATATCCCCATGTTGAAATATGAAGAGGCCAGCTCAGTTGGTTAGAAATACAGGATAATTAATTGTTTCTTTGGAAATGGAACTTAAAATAATTATGCATAAAAGCTTCTATATTGTATCAAGATGTTTTTTTGTAAGAACCATTAATAAATAAAAGCAAAGCTTGGTAAAAAAATATGCTTATATTACTATTATTTTATGTTACTTTCTATTTGGAGTCAGTGATGTATGGTGGTGGTGTGGGGGGTTGGGATGTGCACTTCCCCAAAGCATACTCCCCTCCCCCCCCCCAAAAAAAATCATGCTTAAATACAGTAGTTAAAAATCACCTCAATTCACCTTAGTTTATGAGAAAGCGCCTCTCATCTAATTATCGAGCCCCCCCCCCCCCACTTCACTTAGATTAGAATTTATAGAATTGTTTTACATATTTAGAATAATTATTTAGAACTTTTTCAATAACTATGTAGAAGTTCTATGAAATATTTTGAAAGAATTTTATAGAGCATTTTAATGGCTATCAGGAGTTGGTTGATAAGTCAACTCAATTTCTTTTATTGGTACAAAAGCCATCATAGGTCAATATTCGCTTAAACAATCACAAGTTCACAATATACGAAAGTCTCAAAAAGATGACAGATTAACACATTCCATGGAAATTATTTTAAAAATTGGAAGAATAACGAAACATTGTAAGTAGCCGAGATGTGGCGGAGCAAATCAGTCAGTTGTGACATCATCATGTTCATTTCTGCGTAATATCCCAATCCCTGAGCAGGCGCTAATATAATGTACCTAGTTATGCATCTTGTGTGCAAAAACCTGAAACAAAGCTGTTATATTATATATTGCGCCAGTATTTTTCAGAGAGGCACACGGCACGTAAAAAATCGATAAATAGGGGGTGGGGGGAAAAAACACCAACAATACTGATGAATTTTAGTACGAAAAATGTGAATAAGGGAAACCATAATTCTTGTCATTTGTGACTTCAAGGAGTGCTTAAGCTGCTAAAAAGTGGTGTGTTCTTAATTAGCTATTGCTTAAACTCGGAAAGGAAAAATGGGCATCACTCAAAGGTTGCCATGGCATCAGCTGGACGAAATCAAAGACTACTTAGAAGGGACGGGGAGAATGGAAATTTTGAGTGATGCCCATGTTTTCCTTCCCTGATTAAATATGCAGCAACAAGAATGAATGTCAGGGGCGGATCCAGAGACGTTTGGGAAAAAAAGGGGGAGAGGTCTGATCGAGAGAAAACACTAACCTAACGGGGAGGAGAATATCACAGGAAATTTTTGTTTTCTAGTTGCCCGGAAATAACATCTGAGGTGTTTTGGGTGATCAATAATTTCTTTTTTTTTCTTCCATTTATTCCCCTTTTTTTTTTTAATATTGCGTCATAGAAGATGTTACATAGGGCCTACTGGTATGGGTTTGATGGCAAATGCTAAATACATTTAAAAAACAATAAATATTCTTCATGCTCAACAATAACATACCACATTCATCGTACTGAAACTTGGATCGTAACCAAGGATATAGGGTGGCTCCATGGATCCACATTTAACATTGTGTCCTATGAAATGGACATTTCCGCTAAGTTCCGCCCCTTGGATGTTGTTGCTAAGGCCCCACAAGATGACAGTGTTAAAACACACGAGAACACAGTCATGTGTTTGTGGTACAACACGTGTATTTGTGAGACGCGCGCTTATATTCATAGCGCTGCTTTGATTAGTACGTTAAGTTTGATTGAAAGGTCTATTGTTGCAATTGCGTATGTACAAGGCCTATGCCAGTATTGACTGTTTTTCTACATTTTCGTATTCAATTTTTTCTTTATTACGAACTGTGCTAATTAAAGCTCTGTATGGCCATTCGCTATATCAAACACAGTATCTCTATAATTTTGTTTCAATTGTCTTTACAAAAAAGATTGTGAAATTAAATGCACAGCTTTCTGAGAAACGGCGCCATGATAAATCAGCATAAACAATTTTCAACTTTAACGATTCAGCGTTTTACATGGTCAGCTTTGGCGGACCGACACGATTTTTAATAAAATCGTTATTCATTCAACTTCAATGATCATCGTTAAAAAATTGACGATAGACGTTGTAAACGTCGATTAACGTCGCTTAACGTCGACAGGAAAAGAGGCTTTACAGTACTGTATGTTGTATTACTGTGTTATTTATTCATATGGCGCCCTCTATTTTTTCCTTCGATCTTGAGATCTTGAGCGATCTCGATATCGATGATCGATGATGCAAAGATCTTATCCTTGACCCAAAGATCTTGACCTACCTACTTTTTTTGCAGGAAACACGTGAATTTAGGTTGAGGGCTTGGCTAGCTTGTTTCCTTCTGTTTCACACCCTTAAGAGCTAGCTACTGTATAGCCAAGGAGTTATAAGTTGCTATAACCAAGTTTGACATCATTTGTGAGTAAGTATTAATAAGGAATATAAAATAAATGCCGTTGGCCTAGAATAGACCTAGCCCCTATTCCTTGTTGTAAATTCGTAGTAGAGTAAAGTTAAAAGTAGGCCTAGGCCTAGCCTAGGTCTAAAGGCTAGCCGTAGGCCTAGTAGTAGTAGTAGTAGTAGTAGTAGTATTTTAGGCGGACTGTTTACTTACTTGCTTACTTGTTTCCCAGGAGGGTCTTATGTAATCTGATATTCCTGGGTATAGAAGCCAAGCAAAACGATGCTAATAATAGCATCAAATTTAATAAGCTAGTTTATGAGGTTCTGTCATCTGCACAATTAAAATCTTCACATATGCAGAAGCAGATCCAGGGTTTAAAAGAGGTGGGTTCAAAATGTTTCTAAAAAACCTCAAAATGAAAGCGGGGTGCAAGGTGCGGGGGTCCTCCCCGGGAAAATGTTTATTCCTAGATGGCAGAAAATGAGCTTTCCAGACTTCAGAGGAGTTTGGCCAAGAAATCTGTTGATGCATTTTGGAAAATAAGTTCCAATTTTGTTCACTCAGATTTTAATGAAAATTTGGCTTTGAACTAGACCTACTAAGGCCATGTAAAATTTAAAAATTAGTTAGCATCCTTATGTTATGGATTTTTATGTTAGGGAGGGAGGTTTGTTGTTTGTGTTTTTTTTCTTGTGCTAACATAAAGAAAGAGTTTCGCATAGAAAAACAGCAAAAGATAGAATTAGAAGCAGAAAACAACAGAGACCAAAATTGCATATACTAGAAGTTATTTAATTCATCTACAGCAAGCAGAAACTTTACCTGAATGAATGAATAATGAATAATGTATTTCTACATAGGCCTATATCACGCTCAATTCACTCCAACACAACAGGCATCATGGTTGCTATGTGGCTACAGTTTAAAACAACAGTAGAGCATAGAACTGCAAGTGTTTTGTAAAAAAAAAAAAATTATCAGGTCGGTGGCCTCTCTGATGGTAGGGAGGAGATGCCAACCAATTATTTTTTTTTACATGGCCTAATCTTAATATATAAACAAAAGTATTATACCATTTGCTCCATGATTATACATTAATTACTAGTCTAGCGATTTTCAGCACAAATTTGAGCTAGTTTATGAGGTATCATCTGCACAATCAAAAACTTCACAGTATGGCATGTGTCTTGAAACAAAAATAAGAACTAGGCCTATCGTAGACAATCCTATTTAAGGCCAGATAAAAATAATTGTTAGTTTCACGTCTGGCAATTAAAATTATTTTTCATGAGGGTATTTACTATTTGCACTATCCTACGTAAACAGGCTGGTAAATGGTAAAAATATAGTGGTTTTTTTTTATATAAAAGAAGTAAAATTTTTCTTTGTTTTACTGTATGTATTTCTGCCATTTATGTTCCCAACTCTTCTTAGGCTTTGACATTATTCTTTCAGATGTAGTCATTATTTTTATTGTCCGTGGAAAAAGGAATGTTTTTTGAAAAATGGTATAACAGTTAAAAAAAAAACTACAGTGGCGGATTCAAGAGGGGGAGGGTGGATGCCCACTAGACCACCAAGCTTACACTTGGTGACTAGTGTTGAATCCGATTCCCAAGTAGCAGCTCATTCCTGACATATTATCGTACCGAATACTCAGTACGTGCAATATTTGCAGGTAATTTGGGTAGGAATCGAACCCACAACTTCCAGGGCACCCAGAAAATAAACAAAAGAAACAAACATATCACTATGCCTTCACAACAAATCAATATGAAAGGGAAAGAAACAGGTGACTATTGGTACATACATATTCAAGTAAAGTTTCATGAAGAAAACTCCATACAGTATCCATTTACTGACTGTACAATTATTTGACATTATTATCTCTTCTGTTGTAGTGACAAAATTCTGTTGTATTTACGCTCGTTCTGGAGTGATAAGTCCATCGTACGACCGTGATGCGGTCACATGCAGAGCACATGTTCTAGCACGGAGTGTTCAGTATCGAAAGTTGCATTGTTGTGTCTAAAGGCTAACTCAGACAGCGTCGTACGACGCAGCCCGACGCAATTTGTTGTCGCGTCGGGTCTGTGTGAGTTAAATGCAGACGCGATGGTGTGCGTCGGGGGCAGTCGCATCGTAGAATATTAAACATGTTTAATATTTCTCACGACGGCTTAAGACTGTCCCCGACGATAAATCGGGTCGGGCTGTGTCGGCCAACGCTGTCTGAGTTGGCCTTTACTACCACACAATGGCTCAGTGTATTGTACTACTGTACAGTTGAAAATGAGTGCAGACTAACTTTACTAATTATAGTTTTAATTATAATAATAATTGTATTACTGTATATTCATACTAAATATTGTCCACATGGTTGAAAAATTAGCATGAATCAAAACCGTTGTTTTGTTAGTTTATCATCATGAACCGCAATCAAGGCCATCAATCCATGTGTCTGTGTGTTGCTGACATGCCCATTGCAAATAATGACAACCGAAATAAACAAGCAAGTAAAGTTTGTCTTGTATTATTGTTGATGACATTTTTTATTTCACTCATATCATGCACATTTAACCTAGCAAAAACACAATTAAGACTAGGGCTTTCTTGTCGACCTAGATAGAGTGAAAAGTATAGCAGATAATAAGTGACACACGAACACAGCTTCGTAACAAACTTCAGCACCTGTTTCAACGCAACACAATTCAATGTGAACGCAATGACAACGGGTAAAATGCGTTTTTTGCAATAATTTGTCTCGCACTGTACCGGTATGGTATCTGGCAGGATAAGCTTTACAGTGCTAGACCCATAGGCATGAGTCAGGACAGGTTTTACTTACTTTGGATACTTGGTAGATAGGCCCTCTATTCCTTCGGTAGGACCCTCAATCTTTTACAGGAATCTACACTGGGTGCCAAGATGACGCTCTCTGGTAATTTATTATTAAAAAGTTGTTTTCCAACTTCGGTTCTTTTAGATAAATTGCAGTATATTTTCATTGAATGCCCTCAGACCCGTTCTTGGAGCTTGAGAGAAGAATAAATCAGGAGAAGTTTTATATTTATTATGCAGGATCTTATACGATTCCAAAATATCGAATTCCTTTCTTCTGTCTATCAAGGGCCGAAAATTAATGTCATCAGGCCTGACATCATCTGGTACAGCGACGTTGCACCCTTTCTAAAAGATTAGTATATGTAACAGAGATAGGTGCGCAGACAGGTGAAGCATATTCTAAAGTTGGGCGAATATTAGTTTTTATATTTTATCGGCCACTGTGAAGGACAGATGAGAATATCTTGTACCAGTTTACTGGAGGGACCGTCAAGGGTCAAGTTAATTCACTTTTTGAAAATCAGTTTTCACTCCAATATTCATCTTTTGATGCATAAAATGGCCATGAAATACTTGAGTCACATAAAATCACTTGCATAATTTTAGGGTTCTATAGAAAAGGGTCTTTATAATAAAAGTTTGGGGAGCATATAGTCAACTTTCTTTCAAACCCTTGGGCTCATCTTGCATTTGGCATATAAACTTTGACAACAAATTTGTTCACAAACTACAAAGAACGCAACTAACTTACGTAATTTGCATTGCAAAGGTCTTAAGTACTGTACAGTACTTATTTATATATATATTATATATATATTTTTTTTTGCAGAAAATAAATCAGAAAACTTTAATAGTGAAGACATAAAAGACTGGCAGATATTTAGTTGGAAACTTATTTAGAGTATGTACCAGAATTCTGAAACAATGGCAGAAGGTGAGTCTTGATTCTGTAGCCTATCTATCGATGTGTAACTTCTTATCTTTGAACAAGAAGTAAATAAATTCTTATTTAAAACTAATCTATGTCACTATATTCAAAGCATTTCATCTGGTTCCATAAAAGTATAGTAGGAAAATAACCAATTAGTTGCTTACTTTTTAGCTGAAATCGTTGTTAAGGTAAGCTACTAATTGGTTTAACAAAACAGATACTGTAATATTCCTACTAATCTACACTAGATGACCAAAGCCAAAAATCGCAAAATAAATTGTAGTGCCCCAGTGCAGTGACATTTTGGATACAGGGTCAGTCAACAGTATGTATTTCAGTATAAACCAAGGCCTAGCCTAATTCTAGGATTCATTCCATCACTCAACCCATGCATTTTAGTTAGTAAAATGTTTATTCACATCGTTAAAATATCGTCTGGTATCAGATTCATAAATTAAAGCTTAAAAAGGAGTTCTAATGAAATATCTTTAATCTCCGTGGTTAAAATAATGTACAGTATATTTGCAAAAGAATTCTTTCCTTTCTAGATTTTCAAGATTTTGGGTTAGTTAGGCAAAAGTTTCCTATAGTTACTTCAGCATTTTCACTCGGGTGATAAGGAGCAGAATGCCCTCAACCAATATAAATGAAAAAACCATTCCTTCCATACTGATTAAAATATAGAGCTGAATTTCAGGAAAAAGGAAGTGAATGGTTAAGGTATCAAACTAATTTAAGCTTTCAAACATGCTCTTATACAATATGATACATGATACAATAGTTCTTGTCACTTCGAGGAAGAAAAAGAGTAATATTGTTTAGATGACCTGAAAAAACAAATGAAATCTGTGCCATCATGAAACAGATTATATGATAAAGAAACTTGGAGAAATTAACTGTGCTGTGAACCTGCTAGTAGGCAGAAAAGCAGATGATATTTTAGAAAAAGAAGGAAAATATAGTATTGTTTAATCTCCTGCATGGTGTAATACAACAATATATTAGAGGTCAGCAAATACAAATTTTCTCATGATTTTCAGCCATTAATTTGTATTACCATGATGCCGACTATGGTTTGATTGATTTTACTTGCACAAAAAGGATACAAAACCATAAAGTGAATTGGGCAGTACACAGAGAGATGGTCCCCATTGGGGGTAAGGATCGAAGCCCCCAGCCTCTCTGGCATTTGTAGCATTTTGTGATGTATTTTAATGTCTTTTTGGGCATAATTGAGTTCTTAATTTTGTATCGTGATTTGACAAAATAAGCGTATATTGTAATTAAGATACAGTAATGCTTCCTTCAAACTTAATTTCTTATTACACCTTGTTTCATTTTTATATTATAAAACAAATTATTAAATAAAGTTTGAAACGAAACAAAACAAAAACACAAAGCAACAAAATGTTTCTACTCTTTTTATAATTACTAATGTGTTATTGGTATTGTTAAAAAGATTACACTGAATTAAGAAAGTATTTAGTAATAATGTCGGTGTCATTTGATGTATTTTTTTCTAGATAACATTTAAAACCAATTAAAATCATGGTAACATTTAAAACCCTTTAATTCATCCTGTGCTATGTTCTGTACTATGCAGAAGAATGAGGCAAACATCAGTGAAATTTGATAAATCCAATGGCCTACAGTACCCCTTTTTACATATTTTCCTCAAATATTCAAAGATTTATATCTCATTAAGCACTTTTTATTTCATTTTTTAACCAAGTTTTTTGTCAAAGTTTAAGTATATTAAGAACAGTGTGATAATGTTTCTACTAGTGTTTATTGCACATTTTTCTCCTGTGTAGATACCAAAGTCTGTTTTAATGTTGCAATCCACTGGCACAAAAAGTTTTGCTCATCATAGTCATAAGCATGCACAGTAAAAAAACTTAGTAGTTAATTATTAAATTGCTCATGCATGTAATGGGGAAAAAAAATTACTTTTTGGGCGAATTCGCATAGAGTGGAAAAAAATGATGGCCATACGAGTACGAGGACACATTAGCGTCGGCACGTAAATAATAAGGAACAAAAAGAATGCACTGTATAGCTTCGTATACTGCAGAAACGTGCTGCCAGAATAATTACTGATTCTCATATAGAGAACCATCTGAGCCTCTTTTTAAGCAACTCAAAATACTCACGATCTTCATAAAATTCAAATAGCAAATTTTATGTAGGTATATTCATAAGAAACTTCCATTACCCATTTTAATCCTAACGATGGCCTTTATTATATTTTTTCCTTTCCGTTAAAATTGTTTCCATGTCATTGTCATTGTTGAATAAAGTTGAATGTTATTTATTTCGAATTACTGTAGTGTTTTTTTCACATTTGGGATAGAAAAATTAGTTTTTATTTTGTTTTACGACTAGGCATATCATAGGTTCATATGTGTACTTTTGTTGACCTAATTGGGTTTTACTTGCTGCCCTGCAAATTTTCCATTTTAGTACTAGGCAGGCCTAGGCGCAGGACTACACCAGCGGAAATATTTGCATTTTTGTGGGGGGGGGGGGGGGGCGGCCGCGGGGGGGGGGGGGGGTGCGGCCGCACTACCCGTACCTGACTATAAATTTTTATTTTTATCCATATCTGTAGGAACAACCTCTCGTAAAATTTTCCTAACATTCATTTATATGTATTTTCTAGACCAGTTGAGTAATAATATGCCAGTATTTCCATCAAAAGTAGTTCCTGGAAGATCATTTGTAACACCAAAGGAGAGTGATGATATTGTTCACCGTATCAAATTGGAGGAGAGTTGTTCGATTGGATACAATGATCAACAGTTTGAATTTGACAGTTTAAGGGATCATTTAGATACAGGCGAGATGCTTTGTAAATGTGAAGAAGGCCAAAGAAGACAACATTTATCAATACATACAGCAGAAACACCATATTCATGTAAAGATGGTGGAAAGAAATTTATTCAAAGTTACAAATTGCAAGCACATGTGAGGATGCATACAACAGAAACACCATATGAATGTGAACATTGTGGAAAAAAGTTTAATCAAAGTAACGACTTGAAAGAACATTTAAGGACACATACTGGAGAGACACCATATGAATGTGAACACTGTGAAAAGAAATTTAAATCTTGCATCAGTTTCTCAAGACATATGGAAATGCATACAAGTGAAACTCCATATGAATGTCAAAATTGTGGAAAGGCATTTATTAGAAGGAGCAATTTTAATAGACATTTAAGGATACATACGGGAGAGACACCATTTGAGTGTGAACATTGTGGAAAGAAATTTAGGCAAAGCTACAATTTGAAAGCACATTTAAGGACACATATTGAAGAGACACCATATGAGTGTGAACATTGTGGAAAGAAGTTCAACCACAATAAGAATTTGAAAGCACATTTTAAAAGAATACATACAGAAGAGACATATGAATGTGAACATTGTGGATTGAAGTTTAACCGAAGTAACAGTTGGAAAGCACATTTAAGGGCACACAGAGGAGAAACACCAAATGAATGTGAACATTGTGGAAAGACATTTACTCTTAAGGGCAATTTGAAAGCACATTTAATGACACATACTGGAGAGACACCATATGAGTGTAAACAATGTGGAAAGAAGTTTAACCGAAAAAACCATTTGAAGGCACATTTAAGGATACATACTGGAGAAACACCTTATGAATGTGATCATTGTGGAAAGAAATTTAAATCCAAAAGCAATTTCACAAGACATATAGTGATACATACAAGAGAAACCCCGTATGAATGTCGAAATTGTGGAAAGAAGTTTAACCGAAATGACAATTTAAAAGCGCATTTAAGGATACATACAGGAGAAACACCATATGAATGTGATAAGTGTGGACAGAAGTTTAACCAAAGTAAAAGTTTGAAGGCACATTTAAGGATACACACGAGAGAGTCACCATATGAATGCGATAATTGCGGAAAGAAGTTTAACCTAAGTAAAAGTTTGAAAGCCCATTTAAGGATACACACAAGAGAAACACTTCATGATTGTGAACATTGTGGAATGAAGTTTAACCGAACTGATTTGAAAGCACATTTAAAGATACACAGAGGAGAGATACTTTATGAATGTAAACATTGTGGAAAGAAATTTAATCAAAAAAGTGGTTTGAAAAGCCATTTAAGGATACATACAGCAGCGAAAGTATATGAGGGTAAGCATAGCGGAAATGAATCTAACCGAAGTAACTATTTTATTACACATTTTAGGATACACACAGGAAAAGCAGCTTATGAATGTGAAAATTGTGGAAAGAAGTTTAACCAAAGTAACAATTTGAAAGCACATTTAAGGACACACACTGGAGGAACACATGATGTTGAACATTGTGGAAAGACTTTTAACCAAAGTAACAATTTGAAAGCACATTTAAGGACACACACTGGAGGAACACATGATGTTGAACATTGTGGAAAGACTTTTAACCAAAGTAACAATTTGAAAGCACAATTAAGGGGACACACTGGAGACACACAGGATGTTGAACATTCTGGAAAGACTTTTAACCAAAGTAACAATTTGAAAGCACATTTAAGGACACACACTGGAGACACACAGGATGTTGAACATTGTGGAAAGACTTTTAATCAAAGTAACTATTTGAAAATGCATTTTAGGATACACACAGGAAAAAAGAGAGACCATATGAAATTGAAGATTGTGGGAAGAAATTCTAACAAAAAAAATATTTGAAAAAGCATTGATGGTACACACAGGAGAAACTCCATATGAATGTGAATATTGTGGAAAGAAATTTTGGCGAAGGAGTAAAATGAACGCACATTTGAGGATACACACTGGCAAGACCCCATATGAATGTGGAAATAAATATTTATTATTGGCAAAGGAGTAGCATAAATGCACATACTGAAGGGGAACCATATCATTGTATAACACCATATGATTGTAAACATCAGTATTTTATCAGAAAACAAAATTTGTGTGTTGTTAATATATTCGCATTCCAGTGTTATAGTTTTTGATATGTAGTCTTGAAGGTTGCACATCTACAAAAGAGGAATGTACTGTATGCCAAAATCTGTAGTGTCATGTCAGATAATAGTACCATGATAGTACCTACAGTACTAGAATTTTGTGTCGCCTTGCTGTGACTCTGACAATAAGTTGATAGATATTTTGACACTATATTGTTTATACAGTAAGTCAATCTTATGTCATCACCGCATCTTCCAATGTTATTTTATCTTCAACCAATTTTTCATTTGTGCATGGTTTGATCTTTCTTATGTTCGTGTGGAAAAGGCCACACACATCGGTGAATTCTATGCGGAAAGAGTAAACAAATATTTGCTCAATCATTGCTTTTTGACAAGTGGTAATTGAAAAAATTAAAAGCAATGTACTGTATATTAGAACCTGAAGAAAATCACTTCAGATTTAATACAGTATTATGTACAAAAAATTAAGGAATTTTTTGAATCAGTGGACCCTAATAAACTAAAAGAAACTTAACATTTAATATGAATATTTGAGGCCTATCTAGACTAATTTTAAAGGTGCAATTAACAAATTTAAATGCAGGCAGTAAGTAGGCCTAGCCTAGATCGATTAGTAGGCCTAGATCATCACACGATTTTGCCTGTCAGCACCAACACTAAAAATGTGATTATATCTCTCAAATGCTGGAAGAAACATGTGATTATAAAAATTAAATTAACATTAAAAGATAGCGATTGACTTATAAATCAATCAGAATTGTGCTTACTTATGATATACAAATATTCTAATTGCTTATATAATGTTGTGCAAGATTATATTGAATGTTTTAATTATGAAATAATGTTATTATAATTGATAAAAAAAAAAACAGTGGTTTCAGGGTGCCAATTATTTGCCTATAGTATAATTTACAGTCGTCATGGTGTAATCCCTATGTACATGATACAGTACAGGTAATTGTTGTTCTCAACCGGAACTTAAAATAATTATGCATAAAAGCTTCTACTGTACATTGTATGAAGTTTTTTTTGTAAGAACCAGCAATATAAATGCAAAACTTGGTAACAAATTATGCCTACCTGTATATTTATTTTTTTTAATTGGTACTTTCTATCTGGAGTGGATTCAAGGCTTTAAAAAATTTGAAGGTTGGAAAATATGTTTGTATACCAGTATTTTGAACCCTTTGAACCCGAAAGGCCGGAAAAACGGCCGTGCGCTTAAGCTGCAATAACCCTCAGGTGTCAGGTGATTACCCTGAATAACGTCACCTGTTGCAATAATAATCATATTCTTGTTGATTTTTAATTTTTATATCAACGTATTTTTCCATTTAATGTTTTTGTATGTGTATTTAAATTGTAATACAAACTATTTCAGCTCCTGCTCTGTTTATAATTTTATATTTTTTTATATATACAGAATAAATAATTAAATAAATATAGAATTATGTGGAATTTATAGAATTTTATAACAGGACCAGAATTTTTTTTTTCGAATTTTAAACATTCTATGGAACTTCCTCCATAAATTATGTAGAAATTCCTTAATATTTTAAAAGAATTCTATAGGGAATTGTAATGGCTAGATCCGGAGTTGATACAGTCAATTAAATTCTGTTCAGTTTCTTTTATTGCTATGAAATCCATGGTGAGCCAGTATCACAATTTTACAATCACAAATTCACTATATGCAAATACACAAAAAGATGACAGACTAACACATTGGAATACTGCAAAACCTTGAATAAAGTTCCTGGACTTTCTTTTTTTTTTTTTTGCGATCTTTGGATGGGCTTCTTTTCGAGGTAAGCTTATTTTTTTCAAGGCTACCTTTGCAAAATAAAGAGGCGGCTTTTTTTCAAAATGAATGCTGTAAATTTTGGGAATTACTACAATAAAACAATAAATAGGGCCAATGAACATCAGTCTGTATAATGAAGTCTATTACCTGGCATTAAATCACCTAATCTATTGTATTAAAGCAAGCATGTTTTTAATTTATTTTTGTTTCTTTGAAATTCATGTACAGTTTATGTATTGTATCATCTCAAAAAGAAGCCCATGGTTTCCTGAAAAGAAGACCATGTTTTGAAGGTGGGCTTCTTTTTGAGGCTACTTTGGAAACTAAATGGGAAAAAAAAATTAGCTTTTCTCTGATTAAGCCCATTGGGCTTCTGTTCATGTTTTTTACGGTATATAAAGAATTGGAAGAACAACACAATTGTAAGTCGATAAGCTGTTCGACAGTGGAGGAGCAAATGTCAGTTTATGACGTAAGCATTTTCATTTCCATGTAATTTATCTATCCCGAGCAGGCACAATTTCATTTTTTTTTTAATTTAAAAATAAAAGCTTATTAAGCTATCACTGTACACACAACTAGCAAAAGTAACAAAATAAATTTATAGGAGTGAAGAAATGCAATGATATTAAAGTTAATTTTTACAGCATATAAAATTCAATGTCTGTTTTCAGTAAAGGATCCTCTTTCAGTTGATGTTCATTCAGGCGTATAAAAATTTACTTGCGGAAGTTGTAACGCTTCTTATATCGGTGAAACTGGTCGCCATTTTAAAACACTTCTTAATGAACACTTTATCAACATAAACTTAAAGAAGTATTGCATATACAGTGGGAGCAGCTATCTCTTAATAGACAATTACGTAAATTTATCTCTGTCGTTCTGATTCATTTGCTCATCTTTATTCATGCATTTCTTCTCCTAGTATAGTTCAATTTCTTCAACATGAATGCTCTGCCTCCCATTTATTCTCATCTTTTATTTCTTCATCTTTATTCATGCCTTTTTTCATGCGCTTCAGTTCGCTTATTTACCATGAAATTTGATCACATTTGTTTACTCCTATAAATACTTTCAAGTGCTTATAAGCATTGGTACACCGAAGGTGGCAGTTGCACTGCTAATGGCTCAGATCTGTTTTGAAAGATGGGGGATGTATTTATTTTGTCTACTTCGTTTCCTGAAAATCTTATACTTTTTCTCATACTTCTCAAATGATAACAAAAGCATGCACACTCAAGGCAAGTATTACAGGTGATTCAGACATTAAACAGGTATCTTGCTGTGATAGACATACAGTAGCTCTTCTAATGCTGTACAGTGTTTTTTCGTTAAAACCTAGGTCATTTATGCAGTTCATTTCAACTAATATACTTTCAGGCATCATCTTTACTTTATGAAAATTCATTGCGGTCGAAATGATGGTAGGGGACAAACTCCCTTGGAAATATGTGGGAGGAGGGAACCCCTTAAAAATATGTTAAACAAGCTCATCCGAACTCGAACAGAAAGAAACCACTTAAAAATAAGGACAAATGAAATGTTACCCGAAAACAAATTTGATGTTGCATTTTTACATGTGTTCCAAGCTTATTTTCTTGTTACACAATTGCATTAAAGGTTTACAACCTCTCAATTTTGTCTTTTATCACATAAAATAAAGTAAATTTTCCTGGCGCCTTAGGCCCCTGGACACCTCAACCCTCTTGGTCTTGGCGCCCCCCCCGCCTAGTTGCATCTGCAAGGCTTGACCCCTCTCAAATTTTACCCTCTGGTGGTGCCCCTGAAAGAGACAGAAAATACCTCAAAAATTATATAAAATTTTGAATATCTTATTTAGTATGATCAAATGATTTATTGGCTTCCAACGAGGAACAAATCGAAGGCAATTAGTTTTTACCGATTTACAGACATTTTACTACAAAAATCTTTAAATCGATCACATTGAATTATTTAATTATACAAGTTAAATAATTCAAATGTGAAATTAAAATTTGTAGATGTTTGCCTCATGACTGATATCTTTAACTTTTAATTGTTTACTCCTTTAAACTGGTATTGTACTCTCTTTGTGTTTGTGTACATGCTAATAGTCTACCATTACTTTTTCCATGGTACTTCCTACCAGTATAATTAATCAATACTGTATGTGACTTCCTGTAGCAGGGCATTAATACTGTAGTATCAAACAAAGGGACCAGAATCAAGACAAGTAACAAAGCAAGCAGACTGTTTTGAAGCTACAAGGAGAGTCATTTATTTTTTATAAAGGTGAGTAGTTAATACAGTAAGTTTACTTGCCGTTAGCAACAACTTAACTAGAGGGGAGTTTATTTTCTATGAGATAAGTAGAACAAGCAGTAAGCAAGGCTGTTGCTCAAATTATATGTATGTATCAGAGGTGTACCTAAGGGTGTTTGAATTTGGGCATGGAGAGGGGCTGATGGGGGCTCCAGCTGGCAAAATGAGGTAATATGTAAGTGATATGTATGTTGATATTTGAGTATTTGGCAGCTGGTGATGCAAGCCCCTCATGACCTGATAGATACCACTGGCCGGTAAGGAAATTAAAATAACATTTTTCCTCTAGAATTGTTGGTTGAATTGGCAGAATTGTTGGTTGTCCCGGCTGTTTTGGCGTCTGTATAATATGGAAGTTTAAATGTGTTATTTGCATGCTCTCTGCAGTCTTACTGACTTTAATATAAAGTGTATTATAAAACACAACACATTTACTTTCCAATTTGCATGGCATTACATATCGCGGCCAAACTGATTCGCGGCTGACAAAAGGTGTGATCCATTATTTTCTTGCTTTCAGAAATTCACCTCTTCACCTCAAGGAAAAATTAAATGTGTGAAAATATTTGCAGCTACAGTATGTCAGAACAAGGAGCCAATTTGCCTTGCGCAATGAATACTAAAATTAAAGTTGAACCAGGTTAGTTCTATTTTTTTCATCATCATGACCAGAGATTACCGGACAAAAATGAAAATGTTCTTTTGCTTAGAGAAAAACTGTCTATGCCAGACACCACCTGGTATTTCTAAGTCAAGGTTTCGGGGCCAAGATTAAAAGATAGGGCAAGTTACATATCACTTATTTATGTAATTATGGTGGAAAACTTGCTACTACAATTACACTTGGTAAAAAAACTTTTCCCAAATCTGAATCTAGGTTTCATGGCTGGAATTTTTTTATACCATGTTACCACCACCTGTAAATGTTGATGATTATAAATAAAAATAAAGTTTTATTTTTGGCAATTAGCGTAACTGCCACCAAGAAAAAACACTGGAAATTTCAGAAAAAAATAAAACTTCTTCTTTATTTTTATTATGTCCTCTGCTGCCTTGAAATTTCCAAAGATAAGATATGTGTATTCTTCCTAATTATATCAATTTGAAGCATTTAACCATCCTATCAATTTTATTTTTATTTTCTCCGTCTGAATGTTTTTGGCAAAACTATTTGCTAAATAAGTAAACAAAATTTAATTTTTATTTTTATTCCGCCCTCCGATGATCTTTGATAAAATAAGTACGCAAAACGAGGAATAAAAAAAAGTCTCACCTAAGACAAGGAAATAGATAATGGAAATTATTATTTAGAAATGTCAAGAAAGTGTGTCTGATTAATTTTGAATATATTAAGAGACTGACATTCTTGTATTCGGATTGGATTCTGTTCCAAGCTTTTCCTCCAGCGATTCATTACAGAGCAGTTTGACATTGGGGGTGCAAGGTGCATTACCATTAAACAAAATAATTGGAAACTTCTTGATGAATGTAGCATGTATGATGTATAATATACATCATACATGATACATTCATCAAGAAGTTTTCAATTATTTTGTTTAATAAAGATCAATCCCACGATACTTTATAAAATTAAAATTATTTTAAATTTTTCTACAGTATAAGCATGTTTTATAACCTTAACAGACCCCCAACCCTAGGGACCCTCGAGACCATCGGCTCGGCCTAGCCTAAGCCAAGCCTAGCCTAGCCGGGCCCGACAAGACCAAGCCAGCCCAGCCCAAGATTGTTTTTATTTTTGTTATAGTTCCCCAAATTGAGACTCCATTGTCCATGCAAGGTAATGTTATATGGTTGCAATAGACAAAACATTTTTTTGTTGTAAATATGTATTCATAACATAAATTCCGAACAATTAATTTTATAAACGCAACATTGTTTTGTCGAGTGGTCTGTTCCTTTTATTCTCTATACATTTCATTTTCTGGAAAGACTCCTGTAATAATAATTCCAAACTAGCAACATTGTTTTTTTGTGTTTTCTAGGCCAATGCAGTGTTTTTGAGAACTATCCAAAAAGAGAAGATGATTATGGTTTTTTGAAAAACATTTTCTCAACAATTCCATTGAAAGCAGACCCTGCGATTTCATTTATAACAACTAAAAATGAGATTGAAAATAAGTGTATGGAATATGAGGATGATTGCAGAAATGTGTTCAGTAAAGAACAATACAAGTTTGACAGATTAAAGGAACATTTGAAAAAAAACAATGAACTTCTGGAAAATAAATGTGAACATTGTAAAGGAACCCATCTAGGTATCAAATTAGAAGAAGCACAATCTCAATGCCATTGTTTTGCAAAGGGATTTGATCACAGAAGTAAACCAGATAAACATTTGATAATACAAACAGGAAAGATGCCCAATGAATGTAAGAATTTGAACAAACATTTATGGAAACCTGCAGGAGAGGCATCATATGAATGTGAACATTGTGGAATGAAGATCAATCAAGGCAAGAGTTTGAAGATACAATTAAAGAAACATAAAGGACAAGTAGCATATGAATGTGAACAATGTGGAAAAATATTTACGCACAGGAACAGTTTGAAAACACACTTAAGGACACATACTGGAGAGAAGCCATATGAATGTGAATATTGTGGAAAGAGATTTAATCAAAGTGGCAGTTTCAATACACATTTAAGGATACATACAAAAGAGAGGCCATATGAATGTGAACATTGTGGAAAGAAGTGTATTACCAGTAGCTATTTGAAAATACATTTAAGGACACACACGGGAGAAAAACCGTATGAATGTGATCAATGTGGAAAGACGTTTAGAGCTTACCTCGGTTTTAGACAACATTTAATGGTACATACAGGTGAGAAACCACATGCATGTGAACATTGTGGAAGGAGGTTTATTCAAAGTGGCGATTTGAAAAAGCATTTAAGGATACACACAGGAGAGAGACCATTTGAATGTGAACATTGTGGAAAGAAATTCAAAAGACGTGGTACTATGAGAAAGCATGTAACCATGCATACAGACGAACCGAGTGAATGCAAAGAGTGTGGAAAGATATTTAAACAAAAAGAGTCTTATAAAAGACATATGCAGATACATGCAGGTGACGTACCGTATGAATGTGAACATTGTGGAAAGAAATTTCTTTATAAAGGCTCCTGGCAAGTACATTTAAGAATACATACAGGTGAGACTCCATATGAATGTAAACCATGTGGACGGAGATTTAAGGACATTTCCAGCTTGAGAAAACATTTGAAGAGTGTGCAGCACACACGAAGACTGGCATTTTTAACTAAAACTAGGTTGTACACACTTCAATGAAAGGTTTAGACCCAGCTTAACTTTGGTTTTATACCTCAAAAAATAATACTGAAAATTGTTGTTCTAAAAGAAAAAAACCTATGCTGAAACAGGCTTGAGCAAAAGTGGAAAGTAATATTAATAATCAAAGTACAATTATTACCTGAATGTCCAGCTGAACGTGAATATTGATGGAAGTGACACCATATAAATTTAAGTTTTGAAGATACAGTTAAGTCATTGGATGTTTTAGTGAATAATAATTTAATAATCCATATGGTTTTGAGATATTCTATTAATTTTCGTTTGGTACTTGGTATTACTATTTCCTTGCAATGTTTTTGTAAACCGTACTTTTGGCCAAATCACATTTCACACTTATGTATTTGTTGGTAAACGATCATAATGTTATAACTATTTCTGACATGTGAAATGTAATACAATGAACAGCTGTAGAGTTTGATGAAGTTACATGTTCAGGAACAAATTTTAAATCTCTTAATATTTTTAATATGATTTGTTATTGTTCTAAATTTAATTTCTTCATATACACTTTCTGTTTTGTCATAACCACACTAACCAAACACATTGTTGAAATAAAAAGATATTTTGAAATAGGAAAGTTTTTTTTTGTTGTGTTCTGCTTAAATTGGCTAGACTGTGTTTAAAAAGGCAATACTTTATTTATATCTTGTTTCGCAAACTTATTTTCTTTTAAATCATCCGAGGATTGCAGAATAAAACAAAAAAAATTGGGTTTTTAGTTCAGCAAATAGTTTTGCCAAAAACATCCAGATGCAGGAGAAAATAAAAATAAAATTTTATTGGTAAATGTAAACAGTGTAGTAATGGGATGGTTAAACGCTTTAAATTTATATAATTAGGAAGAAATATACATATCTTATTTTTGGTGTTTGCAGGGCAGTGTTGGGTGTAATAGAAATAAAGAAAAACTGGTTTTTTTCTGAAATTTTCATTTTTTTCTGTTGACAAGTGCGCTAATTTACCAAAAATAAAATGTTATTTTTATTCAAAATCACAATTATTGGCAGGCGACTGGTTCACTAAACAAAGGTATAAAAAGACAACAGCATATGTAAACATGTTTGTAGGACTTTTTTTTTTTGTTGTGATTGGTTGATCTCTGAAATGGCCATTATGAATCGAAAGTGTACAATTTTTAAAGAAATGTCTGTACATCATTAAAATAACTTTTAAATTTTAACCAAGAACAATACAACTAGATTTACCAGTACAGTAATATGTTTGTGTGAAAGAGTGTGTGAAAGAGTGTCTGAAGCGGGATTCGAACTTGCAACATCTCTCACAAGGTGAGGACCGTTAAACCATCTATACTGTATAGCCACAAACACGTACAAGTCTGCAACTCGAGGATGCACCCAAAAGGGATTGGTAAATTTAAAACAAGAAAAAAATAAGTTACGACATTACGACCGGAATCGCACGCTTTTCAGTGAGCCCAAAAATAGAACAAAGAAAGTACTTTAAAACTATTAACTACTAATCAATAAAGCCTACACCTTCAATCTAGGTTCCGAAAAACTGGAGGGCCTGTGACACAATTACTAATGTACGGGTACTAGTGAAAAATATCACGATTTCAGAGAGATACAAGAGCAGCTCATCCTTTATAGTGAGTTCATAAGAGAAAGTACTGTATAAAGGTTTAAACCCGGATCTTTGATTTTAAAGATCGTCGTCAGATTTTCATAATCAGGGAATTTTGGAGCGTAGCCCATGGTCTTCGAACGGAAGATTTCCCGCTGCTATGTAGGCGATTAGCGATCGATCGGTTGCCAAGGGCAACGAAGTAGACAAAGACAAAAGACAAATTTATCAGAATCATTTAAATTATCAAATGTGATGCTCCCTCGCTAATTAAATTAAATAATCCATTACGAAGATGGGAATAAACGGAACATTTGATAAGAAAATGACATTCATCTTTAATATCATTTGTACCACAGAAGGTACAAGTCCCGTTAGAAAGAGGAGTAACAGGAGAGGTATGGGGACCCTTTTCAACCATTAAGCCAACCAGAACAAAATTCTCATGTAATTTGTCATAAGTATGTATCTTGCATTTTTGTCTATAAGAGTATTTTTAGCAATAAAGTCAATGTCATTTTTAAATAAGATAACTACTCCTACTTATTACAGGTATGATAAAGCAGTTCGACAGATCATCTGCATTTGGGAACTTTTAAAAGCAAAAGTTAAAAGAATATTCAATAGAATACGGAAAAAACTAACAAAACGAATAAACATAACAAAAAAAATTAGAAAAATGACATCAGTATGTTTAACGAAAAATTTGACAAGTTTGACCTATACCGATGTTCACACTAAGGATTCAGGGGGGAACCATTCTGTTTTGATGTGAAGTTTTTGCTCAAAAGGTGTCAAAATATTAGTTAAAGGATTTTTGGTCCGCGCGAAGCGCTGACCCAGCGTCTCACTGCTGTTCTTGTTACCAAACCTTTAAAAGCGTCCAGCGTCGCAAGTTTTGAACGGATGTGCATGAAGTTTTGTTCACATAAACTAGAGGTGATTGGCACTAATGCACTTTCACACATAAATTTTAATTCTTAATTTTTTTACCCCAGTGTTCTTCTCACAATCACAACATGTAACAAAATGTTCACATGATTCAACCACTCACAAAGTACCTTTTTTTTTTACAGTTTGTTCAGAATCCTGAGTCATTTCGACCCGGGTCAGAAGTGGTCGCGCCCTATTGTTTGTAAAGCCTGCCGCACACGAGAGCTATCTGTTTACGCCAAGTGTCATTCGTGGCATTTGGCGTACGCACATAGCTCTCATGTGCGGTGCAATTTCAAACGTTTTTTGGCATTCGTGGCGCTTACGCCAAATATCTATCGTGTTTGATTTTTTTTGACATGCGAACCAAATTCATAGCGTGTGCGGCGAACAAAAGCTATCTGCTTACGACTTACGCATACTACGCATGCGTAACCATACGCCCACAGGGGCGGATCTGGGTCCACATTTTGGGGGGTGGGTTCAGACCTTTTTCATAAAAACCCTAAAAAGAAAGGGGATGGGGGTCATCTCCCGGGAAAATTTTGATTCTTAGATGGCAGGAAATGAGCTTTCCAGACTTCTGAGGTGTCTTTTAATGACTTTTAAGTTCTTCAAAATTCAAGGTTTCCCTCTCTTGAAAACGGTCAGGTAAACTTTTTCATTCTTATTATAGTAAATAGGCCCGTTATGTGTGTGTGTATACACACATACATAAAAAAAATAATGAGTAAGTTGCATACGTACGTATTCTTTTTATCCATGAATCGATAAATTAATAAAGGGGCTCCGAGGGTTTTCCCCGTGGGAAGTAATTCAAAAAACCCCAAAGAGAAAGAAATGAGCTTTCCCGACTTCTGAGGTGTCTTTTAATGACTTTTAAGTTCTTCAAATTTTAAGGTTTTCCCCCTCTTATCTTTAAAACGGTCAGGTAAACTATCTCATTCTTATTACAGTAAATACTAGTAACCCTATTATGTGTGTATATACAGTACATGACCAAGATTGAGTCGCTGCACACATAATTATTCTTTTTTCAATGAATCGATGAACCCCATAAAACGGGGATCGGAAGCCCTCCCCGGGAATATTTTGATTCTTTGATGGCAAGAAATGAGTTTCCCGACTTCTGAAGTTTCTTTTAATGACTTTTAAGTTTTTAAATTCAAGGTTTTCCCCTTTTGTAAACGGTCAGGTAATTTTTTCTCATTCTTATTACAGTAAATAGGCCTATGTGTGTACCGGTATACAG